TGCACTGCCTCTATCTTGGATGAATCCACAGGTACCCCTTCCACGAAAACTACATGGCCTAAGAACTTAACCTCTCTTAGCCAGAACTCACATTTCCCAAACTTTGCATACAACTTATGGGCTCTAAGCAACTCAAGCACCACTCGCAAGTGTTCCTCGTGCTTCTCCTCAAAGGGTGAATAAATTAGAATGTCGTCCACAAAGACGACTACAAAGCGATCTAAGAACTCCTAGAAAATCCAGTTCATCAAGTCCATAAACACAGCTGGGGCATTGGTTAGCCCAAAAGGCATCACCAGAAACTCATAATGGCCATACCGCGTACGGAATGCCATCTTCGGAATATCCTCCTCCCTGACTCTCAACTGATGGTAACTCGATCTCAAATCTTTCTTAGAAAAACAACGGGATCCTTTCGACTGGTCAAACAAATCATCTATACGAGGCATAAGGTACTTGTTCTTAACCGTAACCCGGTTCAACTTTCGGTAATCAATGCAAAGTCTCAAGGCCACATCTTTCTTCTTAGCAAAGAGGGCTAGTGCTCCCCAAAGCGAAGTACTAGGGCGAATAAAACTCTTATATAACAATTCCTGGAGCTGAACCTTCAACTCGCTCAACTTAGCCGGTGCAAAACGGTATGGTGCCATGGAAATCGGTGTCGTACCAGGCACTAGATCGATAGAGAACTCAATCTCTTGGTAAGGTGGTAAACTAACAAGATCCTCAGGAAAAACGTCCAAGTACTAACAAACCACTTTTGGCAACTCAACCTGGGCCTCATCACACTCACTACTCATAAAGCTAGAGAGAAGACAACTAAGTTCACTCCTCCCTCGTGGATCATACACCGGTGGTAAGACTCTACCAACCCGATCCCCCAAAAAATGAAAACACTCGCCGTTCAAGGTATAACCCTCTGGCGGTAACAATCTATAACAACCCGGTATGACGATAACCAATCCATACCCAAAATAAAATAAAAACCAGATATATCCATCAACACAAAAAAAAATGGAAGCCGACGATCGGTGACCTCTATGTTACAACCCCGACACCCCTACTTCAGAACCATCTCAACCCCGATAGATGACACAACACAAATAGGAGATTCTAACTACGCCAACTCCAACCCCAAAACATATGCAAATATAGACGAAATAAATGAATGGGATGCACCCGTATCAATCAACACATTAGCAACCGAGTTACAAAACAAAAAGGTACCTCTCACAACAGATGGAGCCGGTACAAGATCTGGCGCGGTAACAGCATACACACCTCTTGAAGGTTTCTGATCTACTTGCTCACCTTTCGGAGCATAAGACTGTTACACTGACTAAGTCGAAGAGGCTCCCTAATTGGCCCTCGAGACCTGAACTGACTGTGCTGGCTGGTGACTCTGTGACTATCTCGAACCAGACGCACCAGGTGTGCCACCTAACTGCGGGCAAAACCTCTTTAAGTGCCTCGCCTGTCCACACTGATAACAAGTGAGTGGCTGGCCTCTACCCTGACTGTGGCCCTGAGAACGGGCCGAAGATGAAGTTGCTCGCTGCCCTCCTCCTATCTGTGGGCAAGCTGGAGACTTGTGGCCCAATTGACCACATTTGTAACAGGTGATGTTTCCCTAACCGCCTTTCCCAGAACCCAAACTTGGTACTAGAAAGGTAGATCTCAAATGCACTCCCAGGGACTGCTGAGGGTTAGAACCCCTTTGCTTCTTACCGTCTCCCTGGCCATCCTAACTCCTCCTGGAGCCCCTCATCCTCTTCTTCTCTGCATGCATGATAGTCTCAAGATGGCCAATAGCCTCCACAAGGCGCCCATACTCCCTGATCATGGACCCGACAACTCTAAACATGAGTCTGGTCCTCAACCTCTTCTCGAACTCCAAACATCGGTGCTCCTCAGTCGCTACTAATTCCAGTGCAAACCTAGACAAGCTGGTAAAGGTGGCCTCAAACTCCGCCACTGGTGTATTCAACTGCACCAACTTAGAGAATTGATCCCGCAACTTCTCCCTCACTGTAGCTGGCAGGTACTTGTCCTAGAAAACTTCAACAAAGGCCTCTCAAGTCCCTCCAATGCGCCCACGCACATACTTCCACCACTGACCCACATCTTCCTTAAGCTGGAAGGACGCCAAGGTCACCCTCAAACCTCCATCTTCGATGCCAAACATCTCAAATGTCTTCGTCATCTGCTCAAGTCACTCATCGGCCTTCAGTGGCTCCTTAGGGTCTCCTAAAAATTCATCCGGATTCGACCGAAAAAACTCCCCCTTCAGAAAAGACAGCCCTGCCTCAGCTACTTGGGCCTGGACTTGATTCTCAACCCTGTGAATGTCGATAAATTCCCTCAATGCTCCGGCCATTTCGCGGCTAAAGCGCCCATGGCCTGCTGACCAACCGGTTCGACCACATTGGCCTAACCCACTCCTTCCTCCTGTGCCAGAATCTCATCTGGTATAGGCATCTCCTACCTTCTAGGACTACCATGCCTACCACCACGACCTCCTCCTGACATCCTAATAAAGGTAACAGAAGAAATTGGCACATATTCAAATGTGCCGAAACTATCTCACTCGCGTCCTAATACAATGGAAAACAATAATTCACTCCACGTAAGCACATAATCACATAAACATATACGAATTTTGTTTCCGGATAATGACCGTCCCGTGGCGTTGTTAGAGTTCTAGTTAGAAACAGTAATGATCAAGTGCCTTTCCAACGGGACTCCCAGAAACCCATAGACCCGATCAACATCTTAGAAACTAAATCCCATACCCATATAGTCACCTAAGCATGTTATCATATAAGCACATAATATCACACATAAGTCTCTAACAAGAGAGACAAACCCATTATGATACTAACCACTTCCCGCGCACCCAAAATATTCAAACCCGGTACGCTCTGATACCAAGTTGTAACGCCCTCAAAATATTAGAAATATTATATTTTCATTCATCAGAGTCTTCTTTACAAAAAGTATTACGTACAAAACATGTTCATAAATGTTCATAACTAATAAGGTTTCGGGACTTTCACCCTGGACACTCCGGCCAACTTAATTATCAATGGAGTCCATCCCCTATCTCCTCTCAAACAATGGAGTACATCCCCTATCCCCTCCCATTCAAAGATACATATACAATGTATTTAAGCACGTTGTCATATACAATGACTGCTTAATTCACATTTTCAATGGTTTACTCAAACAGTCATATTCAATGACACAATTCAATTGATTAGTTTCAATTTTCCTAATTCTCATGCATTTTCTACAACAATCATAGTTATCATCCACCGATAGCCTAAAACAGATATTTCTAAACAGATAAATAAATCTATCAACAGATAATTTACCAAATTTCCATAGGTGAGTAATTTATCAATCCAACTACACCATTTAATCACATTTCCCCCAATTTCATATTTCCACATTGATTTCACTATTTATACAAAATAGTTTATTTAATTCAAACTAGGGCATTTTTCCCCATTTCCCAAATATTACACCCAAGGCCTAATTCCACCCATTATACACAAATAGCCCCATTTTCAAGACCTCACAAACACATATGGAGTTCAAAACAGAAAACCCCTCTTTTACAAATCAAAACCCAACCCTAACTTCACCCAAGCTTCTCAACTCCACCATTTATGCAAAAATGACAAATGTCTAGGTCAAAACTCATATTAAAGCGTAGATTATCCCTACCTTAAATGGAGAAGCTCAAAGAGGAAGAAGGAGAAACTTGAAGATGCTCCAAACTTAAACTTTTTTGGATCAAAAGGAAGCCCACGCGATACTCCACCCTTTTTACAAAGGAAGTAGGGTAGAAGAACACAAGATCAAAGGAGTATTTGTAAAGAGATGGGGTGTTTTAGAGAGAGAGACAGCCGGATTAGGGTTTTGAGTGAAGAAAAGGTCAAAAGTGATATAAAATCACGCTGCTGCGAACTGATATATACAAGGCTCATTCAAGCGAAGGTGTTGTCACTCAAGTGACCATACACAATAAGTGGCCTCGCTCGAGCGCAAGAAGCGTCGCTCGAGCACACAATGCAAAGCTTCAGGTCTGCCACCAACGCAGACGCATGCTCGAGCGCAAGAGTTCTCGCTCGAGCAAAGGAACAAAGAACACACGTCTCGCTCGAGTGCAAAAGTTCTCGCTCAAGCGAAAGCTGCGTCTAAGAAAGAAACCTGAGGACTCTCAATCCTCGCTCAAGCACAAGAACCCTCACTCAAGCGAATAAGCCAAAACCAAGGCAGTAACCATTTGCACCAATAGACAACTAACCTGTTTCAAACTCGCCCAACAAGTCCCAAAACTTAAATTTGAAGAATCAAAAGGAGGAAACAAGACAAATACAACAACATACAACCACGGAACCCGAGTCCGGAACACAACAAAGATCGGGGTAAAACTTGAATCACTATAACGCACCATTGGAGATGGCCCTACAAAAGTTTGATGAAAGTGAGAATTTTATTTATATTATATTTCAATCATGACATGTTCGCATAGTTACATTTGTCTTGAATTGTTTTCAGAGTTTAAACAAGGTGTTGGATATTTTTAAATTTGCTTAGAAAGGTTTCTTGTATAGTTTGTATCGGAAGATTAATACTTCTCTACCTAGATTTACACTAATCATTTGTACTTTGATTTTTGAAATAAAAAAATTACAGAATTAGAAAAAAGTAGGTCGAAAAAGACAAAAAATTGAATTGTATGATGTAAATTTAAATTTGTGTGAAGTGGACCATACTCAATGAATCTGCTTCACAGTTCATTTTATTATTTTTCAGAATAATTTTTGTAAGTTGCATTGTTGTTTTTGAAACTATTGTTGGCATATGGTTTGAAACAAAAAAAAAAACTTGGAATGATAATAAAGAAATTTATCTTGTTTGCCTCAATTGTTTATTTATTATAGATGTTCACCAAATAAGCTTCTAGGCCTATGAAAGTAACAAGTGAGGAATACTCACAAATAATTAAATTTCATATAAACAAAGAGAAAAGAAATAGAACAACATGCCTCTAATTCAAGCACTTTGTAGGCTTGTACATTGCTATGCAACTCCTATCTATTTGAGGTGATTCCTTGCCACCACAGTTGCAATAGGTATCATGTCACGACCCAAACCCGTCCCTATGGGTTTAGCACCGTAACCAGCCAGTAATCCGAGATTATCGAAGGCCTACTTAACAGTAGAACAGTAATACAGAGTACAGGGACTGGCGGAAGCCAATACAGTAATTAAAGTTGTCCAATGAGCTGTAACAGTCTGCATGCAAAAGACTTTTCATACATGTATACAGTCAGTACCAAACAATATGCACAATATTTACAATCTTTTAGGATAGGGACTTAATCCCTGTGTAAACAATATAGTTCAAAAACATTCAGTCTATACAGTATTATAGAACAGTGACAGTTGGGTGAAACTAAGACACCCCCAAAGCAGCCTAAGCTTGATCACACTTGGAACCTTGCAGTGACGCACAATGGTTGGCTGACAAAACAAGAGCCTGCCTGATGCCCCTAGCAACAGTCCGGTGCCTGAACACCTACATATATATATAAGCAGTGAGCTAAAGCCCAGTGAATAACATATGCGTAAAAAGGTTAAGAATGAATATCCTTTCAGTATTAAAAACAGTCAATTAAAGAGTATATCAGTCATTCAGTTTATGGCTCACATTTCATGCCAACAGTCATTCAGAAACTATAATAGTCATATGTGGTACATCCAATAGTAAAACAGTACAGTAGGTCTTATAGACCAAACAGTCAGTTGATGGCCATCATATCAGTAAACAGTAGTGGTTCCAACATGGGAACCAATAGAGATCTCTGTGACAGTAGCAGTACAGTACAGTAACAGTAGGTTGCTATGGATGACACGAATACAGTTCACAAATTGGACATCATTCATTCAGTAACAGTATTATTTCAGAAAATAGTAGAAGATAATCATTATTGAACATATCTTTACAACATTGTTACTCACAGAGTTCTGGGCTACAGATAAGCTAGAGCGTCTCCGGAATGCCAACCCTACACAGTTACAGATTGAACACACACTAAGCTACACGGTTGGAAAAAATAATAACTTAATCCCTAATTTGCCTCAGTGTGGTTCTACATCAATATCTTCATTAAGATGCCTTAAGCTAGGCCTAGGAATGCCTAGAATGAAATGAGGATACAAAGATGCGCTTTAAAAACATTTTCAAAATTTTCAGAAAATAGAGGTCTCGCTCGAACGTGATTATCTCCGCTCGAGCGGACATTTACACTTGAGCGTATACTTCCATGCTCGAGCCGACTGTAAAACAGTCAAAAGTACTGGATGTGTGAAAATCATGCTCGATAGGCGCTCTACACCCGCTCGAGCATGAGACACAAGATCCGCCTCGAGCGTCCAATACCCCGCTCGAGCGGACTGCAAACATAACTAAAGTGCTGGATGCACGAATTTCATGCTCGAGCGCCAGTCACCCCGCTCGAGCGTGAGTCCAAAATCTGGAACTCCCAGATTTGAACCTCAAGCTCAAAATCAACTTCAAATGTATCAAATTCGATCCTTTTGGGCTAATTTTCTGGAAAACACTTCAAAACTCATAACATTACATGTTTCAAAGATCCATTTGAGAAATCGAAGCCCAAAGGTAGTTCAATTAAACCCAATTTCAAACCAAATTTCATGAACATGACCTCAATGCAACATGCATGAGTTAAATCAACTTTAAAGTTCAAATACATGCTCAAGTGAGTCAATTTCTTCAAAGACAAGATGAATTCATGGATTTTAACACAAACATGAACATGCATGCAAGATTCCCATGAAATCCAACCTCCAAACTCAACAATGTAAACATGCATGCATGATTTGAGCTACAATACAACATACTAGAGCCAATTCTAGATGTAGCTCTCTAAACTACCATGATCCATGCTAGATACAACTTAGATACACAATTAAGAGAGTGATTTCTCTACCTTATGTCTTCAATTCAAGGGTAGAAGCACAAATATGCAAGAATCCCTTCAATTTCTCTTAATCTCCAAGCCAATTCTCAAGAACTCAAGATTTTCTCTTACCCTCTCTCTCTCTAGTCGGTTGTGACTCTCAAAATGGACTGAAGAAATGTTTAGTCAAGAGTGTATGAAGTGGAGAGGAGTTGCCTAGATTAATCCACTAGGTGGCAAATTGGTAAATAGGGCTAACTCTTGTAATCTAGCTTATTTTAATCTAATTTAATCATACCAAATCGCATTTTAAATAAATATACCATTAAATCACATAATTTCTAATGATCATAAAACATTAATCAATTTCTGATTCGACCGCCGATAAGGCCTTCAATTCGCAGTTTAAACACAAAACATGAACAGATAATTTACCAGTCAAACAGAGAGAAATGCAATTAAACTCATATACTCAATCAATCAATTCAGACTTTCAGTCAATCAGTCAATTAGCATGCTTAGTCTCAGTTTAGCAGTAAACAGTGGTGAGGGTTATCACATATCACTAATGGCAAGGCTATGGAAACAGCAATAAATAACACAGACAAGACATTATTAGATGTCATTGAAATCATAGAACTGTCATATGTTGTTGCGAGTGCACACATTGAAACTTGCAACTCTAATTGCAAAGGGAATCCACGTGTGAGAACATTGATCATGTAGAGAGAGGTGAAGAACCCTACTGAGTTGGGAACGAGAAACAAGCACCAGAACACACTCGATGAACTCATGACCGATTGTCCAGCAATATGTGGTTTGGTAGTATCTGTCCCATTGTTGGTACTATTTGTCCCATTGTTGGTAGTATCGCCTTACCAAACACCACCTGGAGGGCTAAGCACGGTTGATATGTTGCGGTGGCAATAAGTATAGCTATCACAAGCATGGTGTTTCGTGTTTCACTCGGCGAATCTCTAAACTTGTCGTATTTGAAATAGTCTAGCAACTGTATAGCTGGAGATAGAGTTCGTTCAATTGTCACTAACCAGTCATTTGATAGGTTAGTTGTAACACCCTGATTTTGGCTAGTTAATGCTAGTGTCGATGTGTGCAAGTCTCTAGCTCTCTTAGCACTGGCTTGCCTAAGAACATCTTCAATCTCTCTATCGCCCGCTCTCCTTTGGAAACTTAATAAAACATCAAGAGCCGTGAGGTTATTCTTGTTTAAGGAATTCACTTCCACCACTGCCCTAGTAACGGAATGTTTACCAAGCAATAAGTCGACAACCTGCTCATAATTTATCTCATAATTAAAAGAACAATAATATACAAATAAAAAAAATTATAAAGAAACTCTAATCAAAATATCATTTCAAATAAAAAAACAGACTTGTCAAGGTGACTATTATTATCAGATCATTCAAGTTTAATATTTGTATTAAAAAATTTCTCGACACAAAAGGGTATAAAGGGAAATACTTGCCTCGTACTGTCTTCCTAAGATAGCTAGGTGCAAGATGGTGCTGCCATGCTCATCCTCCATGCTCAAAACACCCTCTTTCTTGATATTTTTGAGATGTTCCACCAACACTCTCAACGCTTCAATTTGATTATTCTTGACTGCAAGGTGAAGGGCAGTCTTTCCCCAAACCGTGACATGTTCAACAGAATCCAGGCTAGCAGCAAGCAATTTGTCCATAACATGAATTCTACCTTTGATCGCCGCGTAGTGGAGGGGTATCCTCTTGTCTCTACCCATCAGCGTGCACAGATCACGATTCACGTTCAAGCTCAAGAGCTCTTTAACAATCTCTAAATACCCATTCACCGAGGCAATATGGAGGGGACTAAAACCGTCTTGGTTGAGCACCTCGGCGAAATTTGGCTTCAATTCTAGTATTTTTCGTACAAAATTGAGGTGGCCAGCCATAGAAGCAATGTATAATGGAGTCTCTTCCTCTGTTAATGATACATAGTGTAGAATTAGGGGATTATATTGGATCAAATTGAGCAAAAGGTCAACATCACCCATCTGGGCAGCCACAATTAACCTTCTATCCATTCTTGTACAAGAACTTAGCAACAACAATGGAAGATTTAACTGTAGAAAAAAGAACCTATTGGTAAATATATAGATACGACAGATGTGATTGTTGTGCTTGTGAGAGAGAGAGAGAGAGAGGGAGACAAATCCACCAAAATTTCCACTTCCTTTTGGTGGAAGTCAGAAAGGTAGGAGGAAGGAATGGGAGAGCTTCGGTGGCACACCATTCTTGACTTTGGTGAATAAGATGTTTTACTCAGTTGAAGCCATAGGAATTATTCTCTTCACATAAGACTGAAGGATATAAAAAAAAAATATGTTGTAGTCCTAGGACAAATTTATGTAGTGTTAATTTATTTTTCATTAGTTGAAACAGTACGATCTATTGTTTTATATTAGTTTCTGGGAGAGAAAACGACAAGTGACACTATGTGTATGGTGGAGAATATTAGAAAAAAGATTGGGAACTCTAAAAGAAGAGCTTTAGAAAGTTTTAATGGTGTGTGAATCCTATAATGATGTGATGTTTGTATCTTATTATTGTTGTTGTTTTTTGTTTTATTGTCAAGTCATTAGAGCCTTGTTTAGAGCTTCCAAATTAAAGAAATGTATCATTTCTGAGAATATTATCCCGAGATTACAAAACAACTTATCTAAGGATAGAATTGCCTATCTACTATCTTAACTAGACTATTATAAGTGAGAACGTGTTTTGAGATCAAACTAGAAAAAATGTTAACGAGCCTAAAAAAATTGTGCTTCAATTTGGGGCTTGTAATTTTTAAAGTGCTACTATTAGCATTTGTCAAAATTTTTTGGACTTTCTATTTTTTTGAACCCTCATTCTAAACCCTAAATTTTAATAATATATTTTTAGACACCAAATCTATCCATATTCATAATATTTTCACAATCAAATGCATCCTTACCTAATTCTTCATAACCTTTCCTTTCCTATTACTTGACCGTTCGTCTCCCCTGTTTCGTCTCCTCTGCACTGACCTAATCTACCCATTTCTTACAAAGTGTTGTTGTTTCATTGCTGTTTTTTTTTTCTTTTTTTTCTTTTTTTCTTTAGAACGTTTCTTGCTGTTAAAGAACACTAGCCTTTTGTTGGTGGCGGAGCTGCACACAACGTAGCTAGTGGTGGAACCACACACAATAAAGCTGTAGACTTTTTTCTTAAGAATCAAAGGTATAATTTGTTTCTCTCTACTTTGCAATTAACAATGACCACACAAACAAAAACCTTTTACTAACCAAAACTACAACCACACAAAACCCAAATTGTGGGAGAATATTATAATGCAATGGATGGCCTAATTCCACATAAAATCAAAATTTTTAGGGAATAGAGGTCTGAATATTATAATCTAATAGATAGCTTGAATATTATAATGTAGAAATAAAATAAAATAAAAATATCATAACCCTTTGTCTTTTTGAAAATTTGTTTGGCTGACTGTTTGTGAAAACCAAACCCTTTGTCTTTCTTGAAAACCGAACCCTTCATAAAATTCGTTTAGATTACTGGGACATGTTTTGTTTTTGTTTTGTTTTTGCTGATTTCCTTTATAATATACTAGTGAGATTGACTATGTGCAAAGCACACAACCTAGTGCCCATTATCGGGTTATAGAAATGTAGGGAGGGGTTCAAGGTTAGAGAGCTAAAACTATGTTAATGGTCTAACAATGGTGGAAGTGGCTGGAGAATGCGTGGCAGCAACTATACGGGAATTGGAGAGTGTATAACTAGGTGATGGTGAAGCAAGTAGCTCAAGAAAGAATGTATGGCAATACCAAAATGGGCAACATCTCTCCCAAATCTCCAAAAATTCCTGTTGTTGAACCTTAGGAAATAGGTCTTATTTATAGGCTTTTCCTTGGTACCAAAAGGACACAAAGTGGCCAAATAGAGTGAAGACATGTGTCCCAGAGAATCACATGGAATATTCTATCTTGAGCCACCAGGTTGAAGGTGCCACGTATCCTTCTACATGTACTATGTACTATCTATTTGCCTCTGCAACTACCTTTTTGAACCTCAGCAAGTGTAGTTGCGATGGGAGTGTTTAGCGCTACAACTCCCTTTTAAGCCTCAGCAAGTGCAGTTACAGCGGGAGTGTTTGCCTCTGCTCTTGCCTTCTCAGCTTGAACCTCAGCAAGTGCACTTGCACCGGTGAACCTTGCCGCTGCACTTGCCTTCTCAGTTCTATTTGACCAGTACATGCATTCTCAAGACTCCATTAGTCTGCTATCGACTACATTCGTGTTCACCTCAATGAAGCCTCCACCCTTAGCCATCTAACCACAAACTCCCCAGCTTCCCAGGATGGAGGCCACAACCAAGCTTGCTATTAGCCATGCTATGCCTTAGTACCAAGCCCAAGGGGGCTTCCTTAGTCCTGCCTGTGCGACTAAGGCAGGTCCATGACCTGGGTAATGGAAAGGGAGTCCCTTATGTTCGGGCTACCCTACACCCATCTTTACAGGATTGCCGCGGTAGACTAGTATCTCTAGCCCTGCTATCAGCTTCAACCAGTAAGTCTTGGGGCTTGCTATCAGTGCCAAGTTAAATGAACTTTGGGGGCATGCTATCAGCCCTAAGCTAGCAATGCCTTGGGGCCCACTATTAGCGCCAAGCATTAGCTTCTACTTGCAGAAGGAGGCCTCTCTCAAAGGCTGCTATCATCTTGGCAGGATATTTCCTCTACAACATAGTTGCTGCGGTCGTAATTACTGCGGTAGTCATTTCCCGCAGCAAGTTCAGACGGCAGGACTAAAGATATTAGAGATAGCGGTACCGGCATAATGCCTCCGTAACTTGGGTGCTGCAAGTGCTGCCTTTGTGACTTAATTGTTTTATTTTTTCTTCTTTCCTCAGCAACTCCAGATGGCTGTGGTATAGACATTACTTGGAATGGCGGCGCTAAGACAAGTGCCTCTGCAACTTAGTTGCGTCAGCTTTCTCTTTTCCTCAACAACTTCAGATGGTGGTGGAACCGAAGATATTAGGAATGGCAGCGCTGAGGCAAAGTGCCTCAGCAACTTTCCCGCTGCACATGTTCTCTCCACAACTTCACCGCTGTAGGTGTTGCCTCTGCAACTTAACTTAGGCTTTTTCCTTCGTGGAGTCCATTTGGACCCTTGGTGGGTCGGACCTGCTTCAGCCTATTTCCCTTTGGCTTTTGCCCATGCTTCTTTTTTCATTCTTGGTCGCCTTTTTGGGGCAACCTCAATTCTTAGGCCCATACTTAGTTTAGGGCTTAATTTCTGACCCTCTATATTTGCCCCCTGCGCATGTGGAGGACACGCTCCTAGTTTCTCGCACGTGCATGACGTCAGCAAGTAACCCAAGGGTTGCGTCGGTTAGGTCAGAAGTTGTATCGGCCCTGAAAAGGTGCCCCCCTTTGACTAACAGGTCATAATGGGCCTAGGGAGGCGTGTCGGTGCCCTTTTGCTACTTCCTTTATAAATAGTGCCCTTGGGTCCACTGGTCCCCCACTTTCGCTCAAACGCACCTTTTGTCTTCTTGTCATCTTCTCTCTCTTGTCCTCACTTTCCAAAGTCTTCTTTACCTTTCTTTTATTCTTCTTCATGGCCAGTATAAGGCTACTTTGGATGATGCCGACATGGTGAACCTAATCTCTGTGCTGCGGTTTCGCGTGGAGCGTGGCGACTTTCCCCATTCATACATCTACTATTGCACTCACTCGAGCCCCCAGCAGATTGGACCCTCTGGGTTGATGACATCATCGCAGATGGTGGCTTCGAGCAGCGTTTGTGGGATGTTCGTCTTTTCAATGCCATTTTGATTTTGAGGGAGTTATTAGTGCGCAAGGTACAGACCAACATTGATATGGTTGTCTCCCGCTAGAGCCGTGACACTCACACTTTTGCCTTAGCATGGGGGAGATAACTCCAACCCTCGAAGATATTGTCGTATTTCTGCATTTAAGCACCCGTAGAGACCACCCCTTTGATCCAGTATCCCTGACTTCTGTAGAACAAGTTGTCGTCACTGCCCTTCAAAGCGTCTTTCGGGAAGCGAGGAAGTATGGCTCCTGGTATGACCTTAGGACAGGAGAACTGCTCCAAGAGCGACCTAAGAGGGACAAAACCACCTATCTTTCTTGGATGAAGCATTTCATCAAGTACCTGCAACCAGTTGTGGGTGACATCACAGAGTAGAGTTGTGACTCTGTAGTTGGGCCGAGCTACTACGGTGACTTGTACCTGGCCGCCTTCGTTAGTTATTTCATTTTCTTTTTTGTTCTCCCTAGCAACCCTGTCGAGAGCATCAATCCCCTGGTGTTTCCTTTGCCTATCAAGCTCTGCAACGGCAATTAGATTCCTCTGGCCCCCCTCTTCCTGGAGAACTTATACTTCCGACTTGACCTCATCCATTCGGACATGGAGTAATCCATGGGCCACTATGATGTGTGGAGCTTTGTACACACTCAGTTCCTGACTACTTTTTTCTGTGAGAGATTTCTTGCCATGGGCCCTATCCCTAAAGAGCATGAGGCCTTCTTTACCGATGAAGTCTTTGATGCAGAGGGCTACTCTATTCTAGATGCAGAGGGTCGTTCTATTATGAGGCAAGTGTGTCAATCCCTCCCTCGCATCTCTCAGTGGTCTGGCCTTGGCCCAAACAAACCCTTTGCAGACTACGTCAACCGCATGGAGTAGTGTGTGTTTTGCCCTTTCACTTAACTTCTTCCAGGCATTTCTGTTGTCCCATTTTATTTTTTAGAGGCTCGTCACGTTGATTTTTCTCTTGATAGTGTCCAGGCTAACTCCCTTCTTATTGCTGCTATGATACGCCCCAAATTTCTACCCGTGTAGAATGAGGAGGGCATGTCTAGCGTCGTCTATCGACCAGACAGGGTCCTTAGGCAGTTCGGAATGGATTAGGGCATCCCACATGCCCTCCCGCCTCAGACTAATTTTCACCAAAGCTTTTAGCGGTTTGCTCGTGATTATACCACTTTACTTGTTGAGGGCTTAGGCTTCATGGAGCTTCCCCCA